ATGTTTATGCAGTTTTTTGCAGGGGTCCATGTTCTGGATTTGATGCGTGTCCTGCTTCTTCTTCCTCCCCGTCTTCTTCGGCTACTTTTTTTTCTTATTCTCCTTCTTCAGAGCTGCTGTGGTGAACCCGATAGGGTAGATGTCCCTCTGCTTCTCCCTTTTGGCTGTGGTTTAGTACCAGTTAACCGGGACAGCGGAGTGCTCATGGAGCTGTTCCTTCTTCGATTCGGGAGCGGCCAAGAGGGGGGTGTCCAAGAGGGGGGGTGCAAATCATGACCGGCGGCATGTGCGCGGCCCAGCGGGGGGGCCAGGGACGTAATGAAATAAGAAGAGGCGCCATGAAATCTGGGGACATATCATGGCCCCCGCCATGAGATCCACCCCCCCCCTAGTCATCACCCCCCCCTTTTCCGCTCTCGATCGATGGAAGGGGGAACTGCGGAAGCATAGAACCCCGAAGCTCCGCGCGGACCTCTCGTGGACCGCCGCCGGGGCCAACCCCTCCCCGGATCGCGGGCGGGGCGCGCTCCCCCGGGGGCGGCGCCTCGCGCGGGGCTCCGGAGGGCGCGCGCGCGGATGCCGCTCTCTCTCGCTCTCCTTCGATCGGCCCTGCGACTCGGGCCTCCGGGTTTGGGCGCCGAGTTCACGGGGGGCCGCGCCCGCAGGAGGAGGAGGAGGAGGAGGAGGAGGAGGAGGAGGAGGAGGAGGAGGGGCGGGGGAGGAGGGGGGGGAGGAGGAGGAGGAGGAGGAGGAGGAGGAGGAGGAGGAGGAGGAGGAGGAGGAGGAGGAGGAGGAGGAGGAGGAAGAAGAGGAGGAGGAGGAGGAGAAAGGCGCATCCTTATGATACGGGCAGCGCGCCCGCATCAGAAGGATGCGCGATGAGGACGCCAGGGTCGCGTTGCTCCCATCATACACGAGGTGACCACATCCCAGAACGAATTTCGAGCACCCCGGAAGGTATCGAAGCGGTGTTGGACGAGCATCGCCGCCCAGGGCCCGACGCGCGAAAGCCCTCCAGTTTCGGTACTTTCTTGGTGCTCGAAACTCTTTCTGGTGATCAAGGCTGAAGAAGGATGAAACAGTATAGAAGGCCAGGGCCTGGGACGCCCATGTCGGAGCTTCTCGAGCGAGGCGCGGCCAACCCGAGGGGCCAAGCATGGGCCGAGGGGGGACAAGGATGCAAGGGTGCCCTTGGGAAAGTTGCCCATCCTTATCATGCGGGCTGACTGTAACTCCTTGCCATCGCTCGGACGTCCATTCCCTGTGCATGTTTCGGTTTCGTGCGTGCTTCTTGTTTGCTCGATGGTCCAGGAAACTCCTCCAGGGTCCTCGCCGAGAAAAAAATTCACACGTCCGAGCGATGCCAGGTGTCTGGGGGGGGCAGCGAGGGCTCCAGAAGAAGGGGCCCTTCGGGGCCCCAGAGGGGGCTAGGAGGGCCCGAAAAGGGCACCTGTCTCCCCCACCCACGCTCGCCTTCGGTCGGGCCTGTCCCCCCTACAGGGGGATTTTCGGCGAACAACTGAAAATACTAGAAAAAGACCCCCAAATGGTCAAGCAATAGTCCAAAAATAGTCCCGAGACTATTTTGTTGACTATCTTTGAGTATTCCTCCTGTAGAGGGACGGGCCCGACTGAATGCTCGCCCCCATTGGTTCGCGTCTCGGGGATGGACAGACCTCCCTTTAGTAAACGGGGTTTGGTGAAAACGACCTGAGCCCCAAATCTGGCGGCCGCAAGCCTGGTAAATAACGGCCGCGGCGCCCCCTCGAGAGCCGAAAACGGACAACTCACTAATCGACGTGTCACTGTTGGGGGTTCTGTCCACCCCCGGGCGCCCAACCGGTGGCCGTTCGGGACGCTCCGGGCAGCCTCGGAACGCTCACGGCGAGGCGCAGCCGCTGGACGGCAGCCCGCGCCTGGAAAGCCTCCGGGAGCCAAAGGAAACCTGCGGAAGCTCCGAGGAGTGTCCTCCTCGAGCGCTGCCGCCTGCCGAGCTGGCTCCTCCTCGTCTTCCTCGACCTGGGCGAGAGGAGGAGGAGGAGGAGGAGGTGGCGGAGGAGGAGGAGGAGGAGAAAGTGGAGGAGGAGGAGGAGGAGCCGGAGGAAGAGGAGGAGGAGGAGAAGGAGGAGGGAGGAGGAGGAGGAGCAGGGGGAGGTGCGCGTCCTAGGCCCCCCCGTCACGCCACGCCGGGTGTCTCGTCGTCGCCAGCAGATATACGAACACCATCTGTCCCCAGCCAGTGCCAACAGAAGCAACATCGTGAAACCACACGACCAGAACCACAGATACGTAGACTGGCCATCGCTCGGACGTCCATTCCCTGTGCGTTTTTCAGTTTCGTGCGTGGCTTTTTCGCCAAATGATCAAGGATGCTCCTCCATGGTCCTCGCCGAGGTAAAAATACACACGTCCGAGCGATGCCAAGTAGACACCACCGTCCTGCGTCGCGTTTCGGGCCGGATCGATCTGTGACGGCCCCCAGGCCCCCGAGGCCTGGCGAGAACGCCCGTGGTGACAGAAACTGCAACACCAGGATCCCGGAGATCGTTGCCCCTGGAAGGACTGGCTCCTCCTCCTCCTCCTCCTCCTCCTCCTGCTTTCCCTCCCCCCCCTCCTTCTCCTCCTCCCCCCCCCTCCTCCTCCTCTCCTCCTCCTCCTCCTCCTCCTCCTCCGCCTCCTCCTCCTCCACCTCTTCCTCTTCCTCCTCCTCCTCCTCCTCCTCCTCCTCCTCCTTCTCCTCCTCCTACTACTCCCCCTCCTTTCCCCTCCTCATCCTTCCCGGATTTGGGCGATGGCGCTCGTCAGTCTCTGAGTCTCTGGCGGCCATTCGGGAAGATCCAAGCCGCTGGACAGCACCCCGAGGCTGTTTCGAGCCTGGAATCTCGATCGTCAGAGGGGATAAGCTCCTCCTCCTCGATCTGGCCCACGCGCCATGGCCTGCAGAAGCCGCGATCCGCAGTAACTCACGCCAGGTTCGCGCCCCCGTGGCTACGATCCTTAAGGCCGGACCTTAGTGGGCCCTGGAAACGACAGGGCCGTTTTTTTACCGGTTCCGTTCTGCCGTTTTTGTTGCCGGTTCCGACGCCGTTTTTTTACCGGTTCCGTCGCCGTTGCTTGACCGGTTCTGGCTCCGGTTCCGTTTCCGGTCGCCGTTTATCTACCGTTTCCATTTTCAACGGACATTTTTTGGGAAACGGTGAAAAAACGGCCCTGCCGTTTCCGGGGCCCACAAAGGGCAGGACCCCCTCGCAAATCAAATCACCCCAGATTTTCTCCTCCGCCTCGCTCTGGGCGATGGCGTTGACGAGATGGATGCCTCGACATCGCCAGGTCAATGCCCAGGCACATACTGCGCCCAGCTGCCCCCGAACGCGCCCACTTGCCGTCGCTCGGACGTCCATTTCCCGTGCGTTGCTCGGTGCCATGCGTGTCTTGTTGCTCGATGGTGCAGGATGGTCCTCAAGGGTCCTCGCCGAGAAAAAAGTACACACGTCCGAGCGATGCCAGGTCCATGCACGCATGCCTCGAGGCATGCGTAGGCATGCCCATGCGGATGCCTAGGCATCGGCAGCGGCATGCCTGGACACCCCTATGCCTAATCATGCTACGACGATCCGTGGGGATCCAGGCCTGGAGGCTCAAGGTGATGGCTGTGAGCAGAGCGGGCGGGCCGACCAAAGGAGGAGGAGGAGGAGGAGGAGGAGAAGGAGGAGGAGGAGGAGGGGGAGGCGGAGGAGGAGGAGGAGGAGGAGGAGGAGGAGGAGGAAGAGGAGGAGGAGGGGGAAGAGGAACATGAACAGGAACAGGCTATCCCACGTAGTGGTCCAGGAATTAGCGGGCACGAGAGAGCTGCTCAGCTTGACTGAGAGCTTTCGGCCACAACCCATCATCGATTCTACTCAAATATTCACGACGATGGGGATCAAGCTTATGAGAACATAGTTTCGACAGCCCACGCATGGCAACATGGGCATAGAAACCACAAGCTTGACAGAACCAGACATTATGAGGAGGAGGGGGAAGAGGAGGAGGAGGAGGAGGAGGAGGAGGAGGAGGAGCTCCTCCTCCTCGACCTGTGCGATGGCGCTCGCCAGCCTCTCGGCTTCCAGGCCAGAACTCGGGTCTCCAGCGGCCGTTCGGGACGATGCGAGCATCCCTGGAACGCTGTCGACACGGCGCAGCCGCTGGAACGCATCCCGAGGCTGGTAAGCCGCCGACAACCAATGGAACCCTCGAGCATCGAAGCTCGAACCTCGGGCTGGCCCCCCTCGGTCGTTACCCCTGCAAGGTTTGGCGGCAACTCATGGGAGCCTCCCATACCATCTTTTCGGCTCTTGCGACGCTGAATCGACGCCGATCGACGCTAACCGACGCTAAATCGACGCTGATCGACGCTAACCGACGCTACATCGGCGCTATCGCATCGACTCCCAGACGCGAATCGAAGCCAATCGACGCGAAAGACGGAATTGAGAGGGCACATCAGGCTCCCATGGTTTGTTACTGAAGGAAGGTCTGGCTCCTTCCCTTCGATCTGGGCGATGGCTAGAGGCCTCCTGGATGGGGTCGGAGTAAATGTGGTCGGAAGATCCCGGCGCATTGCCGATACATCGGCCATGCATCGGCGTTGCAACGGTGATGCACTGGCGATGCATCGTCGACGTCGGCGACGCATCGGCGACGGCGACGAGAAGCGACGAGGCGCCGCCCCACATCTGTAAAGAGTAACGGTGCTTCCAAGAGAAGCCTTCCCACGCTCCCCCATACCACCCCCTCCGCGCGTGGCTGACTATAGGGGGCCCATGAGGAGAAGAAGGAGGAGGAGGAGGGGGAGGGGGAGGAGGAGCAGAAGGAGGAGGAGGAGGAGGAGGGGGAGGAGCAGAAGGAGGAGGCGGAGGCGGAGGAGGAGGAGGAGGAGGAGGAGGGGGGGGAGGAGGAGGAGCAGGAGGAGGAGGGAGGAGGAGGAGGAGGAGGAGGAGGAGGAGGAGGAGGAGGAGGAGCTCCTCCTCCTCGATCTGGGCGATGGCGCTCGCCAGCTCGGCCACGTCGTCCACGGGCGCGCGGCTCGCCCCCACCGCCATCGGCCGCCGCGCGGCCGCGGCGCGCCCCCGGGGGGCTCGGCGGGGCGGCTGGGCGGCGGGCCGCTCCGCCTCGCCGCGGGGGTGCCCCGGCGCGCCCCCGCGGCGCCTTTGGACGCCCGAAGTGGGCACGGAAAGAATGGGTACAACCTCTTCTTGGTCCTCCTCCTCCTCCTCCTCCTCCTCCTCTTCTTTCCTCCTCCTCTTCTTCGTCCCTCCTCCTCCTCCTCTTCGTCCTCCTCCTCCTCCTTCTCCTCCTCCTCCTTTCCTCCTCCTCCTCCTCCTCCTCCTCCTTCTCCACCTCCTCCTCCTCCTCCTCCGACGACGACGACGACGACGACGACAACGGCGACGAGAACGACGACGATCACGACGACGACGACGACGACCCCCCCGGCGGCGAGGGCCTAACAGCAAATGTTGTCCCAAACCAACAGCGGCCGCTGTTGGGCAGGCGGCCTCCTGTCCCGAATTGACACAGGCCGCGGCGGCGTGGACAGCGAGTCCTGTTCAAAATGAGTACGAACTGCTGTTGGGCATTGTACCCATTCTTTCCGTACCAATTTCGTTCGTGCCGAGCGTCAGCGGCTGCGGCAGTGGCCCGCTCGTCGGCCCAGCCCCCCCCTCGGACCAATCGGGCGATCATTCGTCGGGGGGGGGGCAAGCACTGGGGGGGGAGGAACGTGCACCCTTCGTGCCACGCTTGGTCCCCCTGCCCCCCTATCCCGCCCCCTATCGCACCACTACAGGCCTCCCAGATGGGGACCGAGCAGATGGAGTCGAAGGATCGCGCCGAATCGCAGATGCATCAGCCATGCATCGCCGACGCCACTGCGGAGCAACTCAGGCTCAATATCGAGCCGCATCGGAGATGCATCGGCGATGCGGAGCACTCCTCCCCCTCCTCCTCCTCCTCCTCCTCCTCCTCCTCCTCCTCCTCCGTTTCCTCCTCCATTTCCTCCTCCGTTTACTCCTCTGGCTCCTCCTTCTCCTCCCCGTCCTCTTCCTCCTCCCTCGGGTGCGGCCAAGAGGGGGGCGTCCAAGAGGGGGTGGCGCAAATCACGGCCGGCGGCATGTGCGTGGCCCTTGGGGGGGCGAGGGACGTAATGAAGTAACAGGCGCCATGAAATCTGAGAAAATATCATGGCCCACGCCATGATATCCACCCCCCCCTCCCCGACTTCCTCCTCACCCCCCCCCGATCCGATCTGCTGGGGACAGGCAACTCTAAGCGCTGCCTCGCGACGACGCGCGGACGGGGGCGTCGGCGGGCGTGGTCCGTGGCGCCGGTCACGGCCGGGGAAACGTCCTTGGACTCGGGGATGTCCTCGAAGTTCGACACGTCGTTGTCGCCCTTCATCGCCGGCTTGTAGGGCGCGGGCACCTTGGGGAGCCCACAGGGGGAGAGCCGCGCGGAGGTCTCGGATCGGCGCCGCGCCCCCCTCGCTGGCCAGGGAACGCGCCAGGGGCGGCGCCAGAGGCGCCACCACGCGAAGCCAGCGCCGAGCGGACGTCTGACACATGATGCTCATTCATGCTTGTGCTGATGCTTCGTTTTCGAGGGGGGAGAGGGGCGAGGGGGGAGGAGGCCGAGGGCTTCCTCATCCGTCTCGCGTCTACCTCGGTCACCCCGTCTCCGCGAACCCCCATCCCTCTCCGCGGGCGCGGGCGGGCCACGTGTCAGCTGCGCCCTCGCCCTCGCCCCCCCCAGGAAAACTGTGTCCCCGATGGGAGGAGGGGGAGGAGGAGGACGAGGAGGAGGAGGAGGAGGAGGAGGAGGAGGAGGAGGGGGGGAGGAGGAGGAGGAGGAGGAGGAGGAGGAGGAGGGAGGAGGAGGAGGAGGAGGAGGAGGAGGAGGAGGAGGAGGAGGAAGAGGAGGAGGAGGAGGAGGAGGGGGAGGAGGAGGAGGAGGAGGGGGAGGAGGAGTGGCGAGGCGACGCCAGCGGTGAGCCCCCCGAAGCTCGACAGGCGGAAGGCCGAGACATGCAGCGGGAGGAGGGGGGGGAGGCCGAGGTCCGTCCCCCAGGCGCCGCCCTGCGACTGCCCTCGGGGAGGCGGCAGGGAGGAGGGGGTAGGGGGGGAGGCGGAGGATCGAGATGAGGGGTAGGACGTCGCCCTCGCCCTCGTCCTCGCCCTCGCCCTCACCCACGCCCTCGTCGTCGTCGCCGTCCGCGTCCTCGTACTCGTCCTCGTCCTCGTCCTCGTCGTCGTGTCCTCGTCCTCCTCGTCCTCGGCATCGTCATCGTCTGCTTGCCTCTCATCTGTGTGCCTTGGCCAGACACGGCCCGACGCAGGCAGAGGCGGGGGAGGGCGGGGGGTCACTGCTGGAACCCGGCGGCGCTTCGGCGTGGCAGGGGGAAGGATGGGGGAGGGGGAAGGCGAGATGGGGAGGGGGATTTTCCATCCCCCCATCCCGCCTTCCCCCTCCCCGATTTCCCCCTCCCCAGCCCCCCCTCCCCCTCCCGATCGCCCCCTGCCGATCTCGCCCTCCACTTCCCCCTCCAGTTCCGCCTCCCCACCTCCCCCTTTTTGCTCCCCGCTCTCCCCTTCCGAAGAGGGGAGAGCGGGGGGAAAAAACGGAAGAGGAGACGGAGAATGCGAAGGGGTGGGGGGAAAGGTCGTGGGGCCACGGTAGGAAGGGACCGGCACAGAAGGAGGGCGGATTTTGGACGCAACATGAAAGACAAGCAACAAAAACACAACCTCGAAAACAGTGGGAAATTGTCGAAACATGGTCTCTGGACCATTGTTTCTATATTTTCGAATCCGCCGACCCTGTCGGCGTGTGTGAGGGGCTTTTCCGTTCGAGCCGTCATCTCCGTCATTCTTTGTAATCGTCGTCTCTGTCGTTCCCTTTCCCTGGTACCCCTCTTCCCCTGGGCTCCTCCCCGCTCCCCTCGCCCTTTCCCAGGGCCTCCTCCTCAAGCGCGCTAGCCAAACCGACCTTCAGCAACGTCGTAATTGATTCGAAGGGAAGCCCCTTCCCTTTCCCTTCCCCGACGGGGGGGGGAGGGGGGGTCCCGGGGGGGGTCCCGGGGGAGTCCCGGGTCAGATACGACGGCCCCCCCGTACCGACCTTGAGCAACGTCGTAATTGAGTCGAAGGGAAGCCCCTTCCCTTTCCCTTCCCCGACGGGGGGGGGAGGGGGGGTCCCGGGGGGGGTCCCGGGGGAGTCCCGGGTCAGATACGACGCCCCCCCCGTACCGACCTTGAGCAACGTCGTAATTGAGTCGAAGGGAAGCCCCTTCCCTTTCCCTTCCCCGACGGGGGGGGGAGGGGGGGTCCCGGGGGGGGTCCCGGGGGAGTCCCGGGTCAGATACGACGCCCCCCCCCGTACCGACCTTGAGCAACGTCGTAATTGAGTCGAAGGGAAGCCCCTTCCCTTCCCCCTTCCCCGACGGGGGGGGGAGGGGGGGTCCCGGGGGGGGTCCCGGGGGAGTCCCGGGTCAGATACGACGCCCCCCCCCCGTACCGACCTTGAGCAACGTCGTAATTGAGTCGAAGGGAAGCCCCTTCCCTTTCCCTTCCCCGACGGGGGGGGGAGGGGGGGTCCCGGGGGGGGTCCCGGGGGAGTCCCGGGTCAGATACGACGCCCCCCCCCCGTACCGACCTTGAGCAACGTCGTAATTGAGTCGAAGGGAAGCCCCTTCCCTTTCCCTTCCCCGACGGGGGGGGGAGGGGGGGTCCCGGGGGGGGTCCCGGGGGAGTCCCGGGGAAGTCCCGGGTCAGATACGACACCTCCCTCCCCCACCTTCTCGTCCTTCTCCCCGTTCCCCAAAACCATCCCACAGCCCGTGCCTCTTGCTGCGCATTGCGAACAGGGTCGGCGGCACCGGCCGTAAGGCCTTCGCAATATTCTGGCCAGGGCTGAACCTAAACAGTGCTTTTCGTTTTCGTAATGTGTTCGTTTCTCTCCCTCGTGTTGTCTCCAATCCGCTTTTACCGCAAAGCGAAATCGAAACGAACACGACCCACGATATCGCCAACACACCGATTAGGTCCACCCTTGGGACAAGTCACAGTTGCACCTGGAATCGGCGATAAATCGCCGACAGATCAAGCGGTATGCCCCCGATGGCGAATCTGCACGCTCCCAGGAGGAGCGGGCTGTCGGGCCCCTGCGGGTGCCGAAGGACCGATGGGGGGCCGACGCATCCCCCCTGAGACTATCGACCCCGCACTGTGCCATTTATTGCAGGGTTGAGGTGTGATGGGGGGGAAGACGCGGGCGGCAAAAGCGGGGGGAGAAGGCCGAGTGGGCCCCAGAAGCTGCACGGCAATGCACCAAAAAAACAAAAAGTGGACAGCACGAAAACGATAAGCAAACGGCTGCCAGAAGCATGGGGACCGCGGTTCCGATATTGAAGCCGGGGCAAAGCGAACGGGGACGGGACCGGGAAATGACTGACCCAGAAACGGCAGGAGCACAGCAATACGAAACCAGAAAAAAAAACGCCCTGTCGCCTCCAGGGCCGCAGATTGGAGGGTGGAGGGGGGGGGCATTGAGGGCAATGACACGGAGGGACAGCCCAGGGGGGGGGGGGGGGGAAACGTCGCCCTGGAATCGGCAATTCATCGCCGACAAATCGGCGACTGGCCCAGGATGGCGAATATGCACGGTCGTGGGCGCGGACGGCTATCAGAACCCCCACCGGCGATCAGCGGGCGATTGTCGGGGGCGCACAAACATGGATTAGCGATCCATGGATTTGGCGCGCGGTCGCAAAATCCATGGATCGGGGGAAGTGCCCTCCCCAAAGTGCGGCCGTTGCCGCCTCGCCCGGCGGCGAACACCCACGATTTCCGACGGAAGCGGGGCCCGTCGCTGATCCCGGCCCCCTTGATCTATGTCTGCGATCGCCTGGGACTGGCGTTCGACACATCCCCCCCCGGGCCTAGCCCCTCCCAGCGCTTGCACCTCTCGAAAGGAGGAGGAGGAGGAGGAGGAGGAGGAGGAGGAGGAGGAGGAGGAGGAGGAGGAGGAGGAGGAGAGGAGGTGAGAGGGGGATGCGAGGAGGAGGAGGAGAAGTATGAGGGGGATGCGAGGAGAAGGAGGAGGAGGAGGAATAGGAGGGGATGGAGGAGGAAGAGGAGGAGGAGGTGATAATAATAATCATCATCAGCCGCATCATCATCATAATCATCATCATCGTCATCTCACACGCGCGACTGCATTGGGGGTGACGCGAGCTAGGCCCACCGACGACAGCGCACGCAAGCACTGAATCAGCACGAAGCATGAAGGGCCGCGAACGCCGTGCACTCATACAGCTAGCACAAGTGCACACACAATACGGACTACTGTGCATTAGGAAAGGGGATGAGACTGCTCGAATCGGCGTCGAGCTTCCTGAAACCGTCTCGAAAACCGCACGCCATACTTCACACTGAGCTGAGGAGGAGGAGTAGGAGGAGGAGGAGGAGGAGGAGGAGGAGGGCGAGGACGAAGGGGAGGCCCGTCGCACGGCTCGCGGCGGCGAGGGCCTGGAACAGCAACAGCTGGATCGGGGCTCAGGCCTAAACGTCGAGCTCGTCGATCGCTGTCTGGATCCTCCGTTCGAGATCTCCTGGTGGCACCACCCCAGGGTGCTTCACTGGTTTCGAACGAACCCAACGTGGCACGATGATTTGCTGGAAACAGATGTCGCTGTCGCTGTTGTTCACTGCGTTCGCCTCGAGGCGCTCGATCTTGCTGTCGCGTGTCTTGCAGCAGCGTGTGCGGCGAACTTCTTTCATCGCCGTGTGATGGTCTGCCTTCGAGTCCGTCGATCCATTATTCTTCTTCTCGGCGATGTAGGCGACGAGGTTCGACGCCCGCGGTGGATCGAAGTCTTTCTCGGCGAGCTCCTTCTTGGCAACTATGAAACAGGCGTTCCAGACGTGAACGTGGAGATGCGATCTTCTGTTGCTTCTGCTATGTCCCATGCGTCTTGGCCGCCTCCGCGTAGCTCTCTGTAGAATTCCCTCCCCGGGCGAAGTGCGCGGATTCCTCGCTCACCTGACAGTTTTCCCCCTATCTGATTGCCCCGAGAATCCTTGACGACGTAGCAGGCGACGGGGGGGGCGAGCGCTGTGAGGCCGCGCTGACTTTGGCCCCGGCGGCGCTCATTCTGCGGCGGACGAGGCGGGCCCGCTGCCGGGCCGAGGTCCATCTGCGCGTCAGCCGCACGGGTACATATGGAAGTAGATGAGGCGCCATGGACCATGCAAGTGCTGAGAGCGGATATGACTGTAGACGTAGATGTCATCGCAATCGTAGGCATTGCGATACAAATTGCAAGTAGGGCACGCGTATGTCGCGTCGGAGACGATGGGGGGCGACGGAAGATAACTTTGGTCATCTTCACATATGTTATCATGCCACTTTCTGCGTGCACGACCTGGCGCCATTTTTTCGCTCAGGGAAATGTCTGGGGCACCATGGGCATGCGGCTGCAGGCGCTATGGAGCCGAGCGCAATCGCGCCGCGCATAGGTTGTTCACGCATACGACGCAGACGTAAAGCTGCAAGGGCAAGGAGGGCAAGCGCGCAAAGGTTGCCATCAGTACGCACGAGACCGCAATATTATTCTCTCGGAGGTAGTGAGCACGGTGATGCAGAAGGGTGCAACACGTCTTGATCATAGTGTGTAGTTGGGGGCTGACAGAGAGAACGTATGATCGCACTGAAGACGCATCAATCTCGGGACAGTCGTCGCGCAACGTGCCTGTCTGACTTTGCTGCCGCGGGGGTGCGTACTCGAGAATGCACGCGCATTCCAGCGACGAGAGCGCATTGGTATCTGCCTGCAACTGTTGATGCCACGGATGGTCAGGTGGCGACCCCATGGGGGCGTGGGGAAATCGTCTGAACATCGTGGTGTTATAAAGCTGATGATGAAGAGAGTGATTGCAAATTCTCTGAAACCATTCAAGTCGTTGGATCCCGAGCTTAGCAGTCGCGCCAGCTAGACCAATGGCGCGCCAGACATCCATGGTGGGGATAGGCTTGTATTTGATCGCACCGTAGTCGAGCGGGGGTCTTTCTGGTTCCCTTGCCTTGCGCGAGCTTGCGTGCGCGATATATGGTGGACTGGTCGAACGCTGCGTAGTCATGTTCAGTTAGCGCGAAAGTGGCAAGCCCCGAAAGTATTGCGGGCCAGACTGCGCACCGAAAAACCTGCGCGCGAAATCGACAACCAATCATGCTAAACCAGAGATGCTGGAAGATTCGCCACGCTTTAGCCGCGGCCCGAAGCCGTGCGACTCCCCCCGCGAAGAAGCAGTAATTGAAATGTAAATTAGGCACAAGACACCGCGCTGCGCTGAATAATGTACATTGCGACCGCTGTCCGCGAACCATGCGCTGGCACGGGAGCGCGCTCGTGCCGACGGATAGCACGGTCGGCTCGCTCTTGCCCTTGTGCCGCGCTATGGTATACTCTGCGAAGATCCTGTCGAGTCGTGCGTCATGGTCTTCTTGCGTGCGATATAAGCTCGAAGGCGCGGTGACGACACATCGTTGCCATTGATCGTCGACGAGGGAGGAGATGGATAAGTCGGCGATGTCTGCTCCGAGTGGAGATGGAACAAGGAGGTTAGGATCTTGCGTCTACAGGCCCCATTCCCGACTTGCTTTCCAATCTGGCATGTTAAGCTCATTGGTAGCGGCGCGATTGCCTTTCAACGTGCCACTGCGGGGGAAAAACTCGGCGGGCACGTCTGATGTCTGCAATGTACAGGTAGAGTGGCGATGACGTTTGCGTTGTAGGCGTTCATCATGTTCAGCAGCGCGAGGAAGAGTTGCTTCTCTATCCTCTGGAAAATCGTCGCCGGGCTGAGCAAGCATAAGCGCCTGCACTCCTGCGTCCATCATACCGCGAGAGGGAGAAGCGAAGGCATCGACCACGTCGTAGCGACGATTGGCGATGCTGGGACCAAATATAGAACAACGGTGAGAAACCACCAGTTACAAGAGTAGACTCTGCACGCCGGCGTCCTGGAACTGCTACAACGGCATGGCATGGTGCTGGTCGGTAAGGTTTGCCAAGACGACGTAGTAGACCTTTGTGATCTGCTGTCGAAAAAAATGATGTGAACGATGGAGACTTCGTCTTTCTTGGTGTTCAGAAAACCTCGACTGCGGTGAAAGTTATATGGGCTGTGACCCGCTGCGCGTGTCACCTCCGAAATCTGTTGTAGACGCGTCAAGAATTCTCGTGGTTCAAATAGAAACGCATCGTGGCCAATTCCAGGGGATTCGGCTTTGAATACTGAATGCGGCCAGAGAATCATTTTCCAAATTTCGTTTGAATCACCCCATGGTGGAGGCGATGGGAGATTAGAGATTTTTCAAATCCACCAACATGTTCCTTTGTGATCACATTATCCGAGAGCGCGGCTGGAATAATCGACGTGAATGGTGTCGTCGTGATCGTCGAAGAACTCCTGTCAGACTTGATACATGGGAAAAGAACGCAATCGCTTTCACCTTGAGAGCCGGCCTGAAAAAGCTTAGAGAACCATTCTTCTTCATATCGTCGTCGTAAAGATGTTATGTGGTAGCTGCGTGAGCGTTTGCCGATACGCGTGTCAGTAAGGAGGCGAAGGAGGTGCCATGCTTCACCTAGCCGTCGTCCTCCCCAGGTGTCTTGTAATTCGAGTCGACGTCGTTCGTTGAGGGTTTTTGTGGGTGCTGCATGGCATTGACGAATAAGGCGATTAATCTGGAATAACCGAGCGAAGTTGTGCAAATGATGAAATGAATAGAATGGAACACCATGTGTAGAATTTTGTACTGTATGTAGGACTTTGAGAGCGTAATTCGCGTCGACGATGGAAAACTCCTGGGCGTTTGTGAGAAATGCTGTCCAGGTGTATGTTGTGTGTTCTTTCCGTTGTACTCCGCAGCGAGACGATGTAGACCTTCTTTTTCGGAAAATGCTCCCCATTGTTCTGATGAGCGCGTTTTCGAAACAGCGTCAAGATCGCGACCCTGGTGCGTAGTCCACTGTTCGAGCGCGATAGGAAACGCTTGTCGTTCGGGGCCGTGTTTGCAACAGTGAACCAATGAGTCAAAATCCCAGTGAGCATGATGAAGCCCCTCCTGTCCATCGTATACCAAGTTGTTCTCGACAAGTGCGTATACTGGATGATGGTCGACGAGTTTGACATCAGGAACCAACTGTAGTCGATCACCGAGGGAGCGTAACGTTTGGCACTGTATCACATGTTGGGCCAAATAAAAACTGCGTGGCGCGATGATGTAGTCAATGTGGCCGGTGGACCCTGGCAAGCCATGATTATATGTCGGAAGCGAGAGCAAAACGTGCTCGGTAAAACCAGATCATGCTTGAGTAAGAAATCAATGAACGATTGCGTACGAACCTGCTGTACACTGCGATTCAAGGGTCCAGTGCATGTGTCGTTTGTGTTGAAGGGCCCAGCGCATGCGTCTGAGGAGGAGGAGGAGAGTCTGGCGGCGTTGTCACCTCTCCTCGAATTTTCCCGCGTCGCCTTCCCCCCCGCCATCCTCAGCGGTCCGCGGGCCGCAGGCCACGAGCGCGGCCCTTTGCCCTTTCTGCGTGCTGCCCTCCTCTGAGCAGGGACCGACCGTTCCGGAAATCCTGTGGTCCGACCACGAAGTGTTCTCAGCACGGCAGGACGTTCTAAGAACAACCATCTTCTTAGACAGCCGATTGGCCCGAAAAGGCTCTGAGGCCCTCTCGCGCAAGCCACGAGTGGGTTCTTAAGACTTCTATGTGGGCCTACATGCGAGTCAGGACTCTTCGCCACCGCTTGGCTCCTCCTCCTACGAGCGCGACGACGACGACGGACGGCGACCAATCGCACTCACCACTGCGCCGTACAGCCATCGTGCTGCAAGGATGAGGTGGAGAGGAGGATCAAGAACGAAGGGTGTTGTTTCTCAGCAACCGCGAGCCTCGCCCGAAGATGGGTCACGCACTGGTTTAGCTCTAAAGAGCGGCCCGAACAAAAACAGACCCTCTCCTGAGCCCAAAGGGCTCCGTACTTCGGAGTCTTGAGACTGCGACTTGGCGACAAGTGCGATGGCACAAATTCGCGGAGCAGGTTGGTGCCGACAACATTATCGGCGCGTTCATCCTCATGTTCCTTCTCATCATCATGAATATTGCCCCCTCCTGCAATCCTCCTCCCTCCGTAATTCCCTTCCCTCCCTCTCCTCCTCCACGTTCTCCTGCTCTTCCTTCCACCGCCGGCCACACGCCCCTCTGCACTGCAGAGCACGGCTCATCAACGACAAGTGCGACAGTTCAGCAACGACCGATTCAGGCGGCGACGTCCACGAGAGCAGCGGCAGCGAGGGCCGCGGCGACGCAAAAGACGACGAGTGTCACGCGACCAGGCGAGCCAGCCTTGAATTCCTCCAGCTCTGCGAAGTTCAGCGAGGAGAACCAGGCGTGCTTGAGGATGTCCGTCGGGCCCCGCCAAGAGGCAACAGTGGAGGGTGGAAGGCCACGTCTAGCGCGCGCGAGCGATCGGCCCATACACACAGGCACACACACACACGTGTTTTTGGCATCGCAACCCCGCGCGCCGCGACGGGGCGGAGAAAGTCGAAAAACAGCCGACGCGGGCGCTTGGCTAGAAACGCCCGGGCCCTCAGCAACCGCTCAGCATTCCGCAACAACCGCCAGCCATGAGTCATCTGGGATGGATGACTGAGGGGCAACGATAGGGGGGGACTGGCATAGGGGGGATGCATCGACCTGGAATCGGCGATACATCGCCAATAGATCGGCGATAGGCCTCCGATGGTGAATCCGAATCTTCCTGGGCAAGTTGGGGCTGTCGGGCCCCTGTCGGCGATCAGTGGGCGACCGGGGGTAGATGCATCACCTCATATGCCTATTTTCCCTATCGTTGCCCAAGAATGGCAGGGCGGCCCAGTGGAAGGACGAGACTGCGGTGGAAGGTGCCATAAACTATCCAGGACTGGACGGCCGGGGGGGCGAGTAAGCAGCGCGGAGCGGCAAGGAGACCAACACCGACCATATGCCTAGAGGGCAGGGGTGCCAAAGCGCACAAACACACGTACATACCTACCTACCTACCTACCTACCTACCTACATACCTACATACATACACATACATACATACACATACATACATACATACATACATACATACATACATGTATACATACACATACATACATACATACATACAGACAGACAGACACACATGTACATACATACATACATACATGCATGCATGCATACATACACATACCTATACATGCACATGTACATGTACATGTACATATGCATGCATACATAAAAAACGTACAAACATGCAAACCTGCATACATACATACATGCATACATACATGCATACATGTGGTTGTTTATCTTTACTGATTAAACAAAATAGTTGGCGTGCGGCCCCGCGCGCGGCGAAGGGGCGCAGAAAAGACACACACACACACCAGGGGTCGCGGTTCATTATACTGGTTCGTATCCTGTCAAAAGACCGTTATAATACGGGCTATGCCTCTATATCCGGTCCAATTTAGGGTGTGCCGGAATTGGCTTTTGCACGCCAGCTCACCCAGCAACCGAGGAGCCAACCAGCCAGCCAACCAACTAGCCAGCCAAGCAACCCTCCCCGGTGAGTTTGTTGAGGGTGTCCTGCACCGCTGGGCCCATAATCAATTGTGTACCCTGGAATGTACGCGGGGCGGGAGAAGGGAAGGGTGTGACGGAACATAATACAGTGGACGGAATCGAATGGAAGGAAAGTGTGGATGGAATGGCGTGACATGCGATGGAATGGATGCGAAGCGCGCGTGGAGCGGCGAACGGGCGGGCGGGCGAACGGGCGGGCGTGCACACGTGCGGTCGGGCGCACTGTGTTGCGTCGCGCTTCATCGCATCGCATTGCATTGCGTTGCATTGCGTTATTTTCAATTGCATGGCGTCGCATGTGCATCTGCATTGCACTGCATTGCACTGCATTGCATTGCATCGCATTGCGCTGCGATGCATTACATTGTAACGCATTGCATTGCACTGCATTGCGCCCTGTTTCGATGCATTGCGTTGCGCCCCGCTGCGGTTGCATTGAATTTGCGGTACACTGTATTGCAATAGACTGCGGGCGAAGGGGAGGACGGGAGGGTGAAGGAGGAGGGGGAGGAGGGAGGAGGGGAGAGGGAGGAGGAAGGAGGAGTAGCACATGGCATTTCAGTGAGGAGGGAGGATGGGGGGAGGAGGGGAGGGGGAGGAGGGCGGAAAAGGGGAGGGAGGAGGGAGGATAGAGGAGGGAGGAGGAAGGAGGGAGGGAGGAGGACGAGGAGGTTAGGATAGTATGCTCGTTGATCTCCCTGTATCTCGTCATCGCCATCATCGTGGCATAATGTTTTTCACTCGCCCCCAATGGCGCTGCCACGTGACGCGTTCCATTGCATTGCTTTGCATTGCATTGCATTGCATTTCGTTGCACTGCGCTGCATTGCATGTTGCCTTGACGTGCAACGCCATCCATTATATTGCATGCTGCGGCGTCGCATTGCATTGCGCGGCGCTCCAGTTGCGTTGCATTCGCAATACATGTTATTGCAGAGATATTAACGTTTCCAGCCGTTGCCACGTGGCGAATGGAACGGCGTAGTGCGTTCGTCGCCCCCCGCAACGTTGCCGCCGGGTGAATAGCCTGGACTTCGTTATCTTGTGAATTTTACTCGGCCCCTACGGCGCTGCAGTGTGTAAGCAGAGTGGATGGAACACTGCTCCTTCGCGCCACCAAGCCTTGCCGTGTTGCGCACGATGCGGCTGCTTAGTATTCTTGTCAGCTCCCGCTCACTCCCCTTTTCTTTTTCACTGGCGAGGCGCCAAAACATCGAGGCCGCTCCCGGCCCCCGGCGTCGCCGCAACACGGACAGAAACAGAAAAGGGTGGGCGGGCGGGACAAGCGGTCCCACTCGTGAGCCCGAACCAGCGGCAGGCAGGCGGCGCGCGCGCAAGAGACACGAGGCGGGGCAGCGGGGAGTCGAACATTGCTTCACACACGTGAATCCGAGCTCTGGCCCCCGAGAGCGTTGCCACGTGACGAGTCGTGGAAGCGTGTCCCGATCCCCGCCGGGCGTTGCCGCGCGCCCAACGTGGCGTCGCCGCGCGACGACTATGGTGGAATCGTCTTGTTTCGCTCCCCGCCAGACGCTGCCGCGTGGCGAATGAGGTTGGAATAGTCTTGGGTCTGGCCCCCGCGGCGCTGCCACGTGACGAGCAGGAATGGAATAGCAGTGCCGCCCGCCCAAGCGGTGCCACGCGGCGGCCACCCAGCCAACTGACCAACCACACTGCCGACCGACCAGCTACAGTCAAAAACCCGAATAAGGACGCGCGACTTTGCTCAGGGTACCCTTGCGTCCTTGCTCTTCCTTGCTCTTGCGGCTCGTCCTTGGCCTCTTTCGCTTGCCCGCTTGTCAGGGTACCCTTGGGGTTTTCGTCGTGCGCCGCCCCAAGAATCCCAACTGCGGCTTCCAAGGGTCTTGCGTCCTTTTCCGCGCGTCCTTCTTAGGGTTTTTGACTGCAGAGACGGTGTCGGCGGGCGCGCCTCGAGCTCCTCCTTTCTGGGGCCCGCGGGCCGCGACCCCGGGGCCCGGACCGAGGGGAGCGCCAGGGCCTGCGGCGGTTGCCCCTCTCGCCCTCCGGGGTGCGCGGCTGCCGTCGCGGGCAGGTCCCTCTTGACGGGAGGAGTGTTCAGGAACAGTGCTCGAAGATGTACTAGCCACCGGACCGGCCTGCCAGCAGACGGTGCTGCTGAGCTGCATTAGCAGCACATTGCATGGCAGCGACTTGCGGGCGAGGGGGGTGGGGGACACGAGCACGGAGAGGGGAGGAACGTAAAGAGGAGAGGAGGAACGAGAACGGAGGAGGGACGAGAGGCTGAGGAGGGGGGGGGGAGGGGAGGGGGAGGAGGAGGAAGGAAGGGAGAGGAGGGAAGCAAGAGGGATGATGGAGGAGGGAGGTGGAAAGGGTAAGGGATAAGGACGAGGAGGCTGATGCGATACAATGGTTCTTCACCTCCATGGCCCTCGTCATCGTCGTCGTCGTCATCATCGTCCTCTTCGTTTTCGTCGTCGCCCTCGCCGTCTTCTTCGTGGCATAAGGATTGCTTCGGGCACCGCGGTGCTGCCGCGTGACGACCAGAATGGAACACGAGTTCTTCACGCTTACAGGCGTTGCCACGTGGCGAGTGGAGTGGCATAGTCTTGTGTTCGGCCCCCGCGGCGTTGCCACGTGACGCATCGAGGTTGTTTGTGTGCGGTCCCCGCGGCTCTGCCACGTGACAAGCAGAGCGGATGGATCACTGCTTCTTCGCGCCTCTGGGCGTTACCACGTGGCAAATGGAGTGCGTGAGCACTTGCTCGGCCCCCAGCGGCGTTGCCACGTGACGCACATAGTGGAACAGTACCTGAATTGCGCCTAGGAAGAGGCGGTGCCACATGACGAATCTACTGGACTTGTATTTTTCTCAGCCCCCGCGACGCTGCGACGTGACGAGTAGTGGGGACTAGTATTCTGTCGCCCGCCAAGGCGTGTCACGTGACGAATGGAGTGGAACATACGATTTTCGGCCCCGCGGCGCTGCCACGTGACGAGACGCACACTCCGCAACAGCGCATTGCATTGCAGTGCATTGGCATTGCGTTGGGTTGCGTTGTTTTTTTAAGTGTGCTGCATTGCAGCGCTGCATTGCGTCGCATTATTGCATTGCGTTGCATTGTGTTGCACCGCATTGCGTTGCATCCTGTCGCGTTGCATTGCGTTGCACTGCGATGAATCTACATTGACGTTGAAATACACTGCATTGCAGCAAATTTCGGGCGAGGGGTAAAGCAAGGAAGACAGGATGGGAGCAGAATGGCGGAAGATACAGAGAAGATGGGGGGAAGGAGGAGGAGTGAGGAGAAAAGAGGTGGGAGGAGGGGAAGGGGGGAGTGGAGGGGAGAATTGGCCAACCACCCTGGCAAGCGGGTGACCGGCGACACCCAGCCATCCAACCAACTGGCCAACCAATCCACCAACCAAACAACCATTCAACCCTTCCTGGTAAAACAAGTTTGACCGGGCATCTGGCGAGCCAACCAACCGACCAATCGACCAACCATCCCCAGGCAAACGGAAACCCGGCCAAGCAACCAATCAGACAACCAACTGACCGACCAACCAACCCACCCGCCAACCAACGAACCAACCTCCCAAGTACATGTCTTTTGACCCGGCAATCGTAAAGCCAATCAGCCAACCAACCCACCAAGCAACCAATCGTTCAATTGGATTTCTTCGGTTGATCCCAGACCAATTCATTTGACCCGGGATGAACTGCTTGACACTCGGGTTGAACATTTGTGGACCCTGGAAGAAAATGCTGTTCAATCCTTCTCCCTACTCTTTCTGGCAGCGGCCTCGCGGGCAGCGACGAGGCGGAGCAAGTAGAAGTACCAAGCGGGCGGACGCGGCTGGGCCCTCAATACAGTGGAGGCCAGTCCACAAGAAACCTTCCACGAGCAGCCCAACCTTGACACACCAAGGCGTCGATTGATTCTTGGTGCGGGCAGGTCACGCGTTCCATCGCAAAACCATCGAAACTCAAGAAACCCAGGGCACCCTGGAGGCAAGCAGGGCGTCTCTTGGCATGGGCCCCCTCTGTACTCCCCACACGTCCTCCTCCTCCTCCTCCTCCTCCTCCTCCTCCTCCTCCTCCTGCCCCTCCCCCTCCTCCTACTCCTCCTCCTCCTCCTCCTCCTCCTCCTCCTCCTCCTCCTCCTCCTCCTCCTCCCCTCCTCCCTTCCTCCTCCCCCCTCCTCCTCCTCCTCCTCCTCCTCCTCCTCCTCCTCCTCCTCATCCTCTCCTCCCCTCCTCCTCCTCCTCCTCCTCCTCAGGGCACCCTGGAGGCAAGCGGTGCCCCGAACTGCCGCAGTACGAAGCCTGAGAAGGAGGCCAGCCGCCTCGGCCACAGGCCGAGCGGGCGGCCCCCCTCTTCGCCCCCGTGCCCTCCCCGTGGCTGCCCTCGCACGCGACCTCGTCGCCGCGTCCGCCCCCGCTCTCGCTCCTGCCCTCGGCCTCGCCCCCTCCTCCTCCTCCTCCTCCTCCCCTCCTGCTCCTGCTCCTGCTCATGCCTCCTCCTCCTCCTCCTCCTCCTCCTCGTCGTCACGCTCCTGCCCTCGGCCTCGCCCCCCTCCTCCTCCTTCCTCCTCCTCTTCTCCTCCTCCTCCTCCTCCTCCTCCCCTCCTCCTCCTCCTCCTCCTCCTTCTCCTCCTCCTCCTCCTCCTCGTCACGCCCCTGGGCCTGCCTCTCCAGACATCCCGCGCTCCAGGTAGTTCTGGGGCCAACGTCCAGGCCCGAGTCGTGCCTCGACGCCCCCAGGGGGCCAGGGCGAGGGCCCCGGAAGGCGGGAAGCGGTCAAAAGCAGGCCATCGCAAGTTTGTTCTTCGCACCTCGGAATTTCGGGTTCCCAACCTCGCGGGGACAGCAAGCGACAGGCGACCACAACAGACATCGAGGGCACGCCATGGGGGAACGTCTTGCGCATGCCCACGGTCGTGTGAAAACCGACGCCAGCTCTATGCTAGATGTGGTTGATGCGGCGCCCCAGGACGGCGACATCGACCACCACCACTACCAAAATGCCCATGCCGAGGTCGATTTGTTTTCTTCCCCGACGGCACATATACTCATTTGTGGTTGTGGCTCTTTGTTGTGCCTGGATATCTGGGTCCCCTTCCTTTGGCGGCGCGCTCAAAAGATTCAGAGGAGGGGGGGGGGTCCCAGAAGGAGACTTTTGTTTATTAAAAGAAGGCGCCACCCTTACGCGAGGGTGTTTCTAAGAAGCAAGGGTGTTTCTAAGAAACCCGCCCCCCTCACCCATGCACCCCTCTGCGCGTGGCCGACTTGATGTGCCTGGATCTCTGGATCTCTGGATATCGTCTCCGCGTCTGCCCCCCCAACATCGATTTCGGCATCGTCCTCACCGCGCTCCTGTGCCACTGAGCCGCTAACGGTCTGAGAGTCCCACGGGCGCGACCATCCCCGCCACAGGGCCACTCGCCTGGCGACTGCTGGCGCGATCTATCCACGCGACAGGCCCTCCTCCTCCTCCTCCTTCTCCTCCTCCTCCTTCTCCTCCTCTTCTTTTTCTTCCTCCTCCTCCTCCTCCTCTTCCTCCTCCTCCTCATCCTCACTCTCCTCCTCATCCTCCTCCCACTCCCCCTCCCCCATTCCCCTCCCCCCATTCTCCTCCTCACCTTCCCCCTACTCCTCCTCCTCCCTCCTCTTCCTCCTCTCCTCCTCCTCCTCTTCCTCCTCCACTCCCCCACCCCCCCCCTCTCCCACCCCTCCTCCTCCTTCCCCACCCCCGCCTCTTCCTTCCCCTCCTCCTCCTCTCCTGCTCCTCCTCCTCCTCTCCTCCTCTCCTCCTGCTCCTCCTGCTCCTCCTCCTCCTCCTTCTCCTCCTCCTCCTCCTCCTCCTGCTCCTGCTCCTGATCCTGCTCCTGCTCCTGCTCCTGTTCCTGCTCCTCCTCCTCCTCCTTTTCCTCCTCCTCTTCCTCCTCCTCCTCTCTTCCTCTTCATAGTACTATTCACAATCCGAGCATTGGTATTATTATCAGTATCAGTTGATTGTTATTCTTCAAAGTTAGTGTTCGTCTTTCTTATCTTCTTCTTATTATTGTTATCCTCCTCGTCCTGCTCCTCCTCCTCCTCCTCCCAGTGAATCTATGCGTTCGGAGTCACACGCTCCAAACGTATAGAGGTACTGGGACCGTTGAAATACGACAGATGCGGGCTCCCGAGGCCACTCATCCCCTGCGTAAAATTCAATGTGTTCGCGCCCCCGATGCCAGACTCCCTCGTGACTTACAGCGCGCTCGCACTCCCTTTTTCGTCGCCTGGCACAGAACACCCGAGCTGGTGGCGCGCGAAGCGCGCGGCCCACCTGATGAGGGTGCCCAGAGTGCCTGTGTGAATTCACACTCAGTCGGCCCATACAGCCTCAGGACGGAGCCCGAGAACAGCGGCGGCTCACGTAGCCTGGAGCCGCCACAGTTGCATGGCGCTCTCTGGCAGCCAGCCAGAGAACACGGGCGCCGGCGCCACACCCACTTGCACGCCGGCCCAACGAAGCGATGGATTACCCACAGCAGCGTTGGGACTTTAGTTCCCCCTCACCTCCAAACGTTAGGAGGCCCCCGTACCGGATCTCCGTTTGAAGGAATCCTTTCAAGGGTGGATCCAGAGGCCGGATCCTACACTCGGCATGCTAGGCCGAGCGGAAGGAGTCTCTCCCCATGCTGCGTCCAGGAAGGGGGACGATCGGGCTGCCACCCGCCTGTTCTCCAGAGGCGGCCGAAGCCTCTTGTGGCACAGGTGCCAACGCTCGCAATCCCGAGGAGCCAACCCCTTGTACATTACAACGGGATCTCGCTGCCGAGGCGACAAGCGCGCTCGCCCCGCCGCCACAAACCTCCTTTTGTTGTTCTGATTTGTTGTCATGAATATATATATATATATATATATATCACAAAAAAAAGGAGATAACAACAAAAAAGTCGAGTGAGCTCGCGAGGCAGCTTCGCGCTCCCGACGCCGCGGGCCCACCCCACTGGGGCCACAGCCCCCCCCCCCCCCTGCCCCTGGATGGGCGAGGAGGGGGGGAGGGGGCGACGACGCCCACACCGACGCCGACGCCGACGACGCCCCCGGCGCCGAAGACGACGCCCACGCCGACGCCGACGCCGACGACCACGCCCACGCCGATGCCGACGACGACGCCGCCGAGAACGACGACGACGGCGCCGACGCCGACGCCGACGACGAAGCCGACGACGATGACGCCGACGCCGACAACGACGCCGAAGCCGAAGCACGACGCACGACGACGACGACGACGACGACGACGACGATGACAACGACGACACCGACGACCACACCGAGTACGACGAACCACCCCACACCCACAGGGGGAAGGAGGGGGGTCACAGGCACCCTTCACCACGACACGCCGCCCGCAGTGCCACGACCACTGGGAGGGGGGGGCGATCCCATTCGCGAGGCTCACGGGCGTACCCATCAAGCGGGGGGGGCAGGGCTCGATCCCACATGCATGGGAGGGTGGGACAACCATGTATCATATATGGTCGGGGAGGCTTTTCGGCCCCCACGCCGTTCCTACAATGTCTGCCCTGAACCCGAGACGAAGAACCCTTCAAAATAGCAAGGGACACAAGGAACCCAAAGGCAGTCCAAAACGCGCGATGTTGCCCATCATGGCCTCTGGCAACCCCCCGTCGGTCCAAGAGAGCGTCGAGAAGCGTCCAGTACACAACGCGAGGGGATTTCTTTAAGAAGGCAACGAAGCGCCCATCAAGAACTTCAAACTACTAATATGTTCTACTAATCGCAAGCTATCCTGACAAAATCCCCCCGACATCCCACAATCATTTTGATTTAGCCCACGATGACAGTGGGGGGAACGGCGGCATATGGCGAAACCTTTCAGGATATTCTTGTCCCCTCCCCCATTTCGCTCTCATCTCTTCCGTCCCTAACTCCTTCGTCCCTCGGCCAAACCTCAACCTCCCCACGGCATCCACATCTCCCCCCCGTCGGTCTCAAGCTTCCCCTGCCTCTCCTCGGCGGGACGGCATTGGCCATCCGGATCCATAGGACCGTCCTTGAGGTTCCCGTACCTCTTGCTGAGGTCCGCCGTGAGCAGCTTCTTCACCAGCGCCTCCGAGCGGCCCGGAGATTTCTCCTCCCTTTCCGCCTCCTCCTTCCTTTCCCCTACTTCCTCCTTCCCCTCGACTCATCCCTCACCCCCCTTACCTCCCAGAGCTCCTTACTGGACTACCTACCAAACCACCCCAACCCAACCCGAAGACCCAAATGTCGGGTTGGGGGGGGTACGGGTTCCATATGTATTTCTAAATGTTCCCCGACACCCCCCCACTGGAAATGGAGGGCAAATTGAGGCCTTCGGGTTGGGTTGGGGTGGCTTGGTGGGTGGTGATTACTGGTACATGCTCCCACTCTGCCACCCATCCGGCGGAAAGCCAGCCAACCCGCGTGGTCCCATCCGACCGGCAAGAAACAGTGTACGGCCGCCTCGCGCGGCGCAGATTCCTCACTCGCCAATGTGTGGGGGGCCCCGCGGGCAGCCTGCCGCCCTCGCCGAAGCTCCGAGCGCACCTCGCTCGGATGGGGCGTCCCCGCCCGGGCCTGGCGCATGGCTCGCTCGCCGCATCGCATAACATCGATAGCGGCCGAGACGCCGCCCTCGCCAAAACTCCGCGCAGTCGCTGCGTGAAAGTGGTGGCGACGTGCCGGTGCGGTGCATGCTTCGTCTTCGCCCCGCTCATCGGAAGTCGTGCCGATCCCGCCCCTGCGCGGCCCGCGTACCTCACCGTGGCCAGCCAGGTCGTCGGAAACGGGGCCGCGCGCGAGGGCCTTCCTTTCGCTAGAGGGGAACGCGTTCCAATCCCAACATCAGGTTGTGGAGTAGGCGGGACCCTCCTCAATTCGATCCATTCCGCGCCCCGTCTTCTTATACACCGGAATGCCGAACTGGCTGTTCGTTTGGCTTTTTACGATGAGCTGGTTTACAGTGCTCCGATGGTTTACATTGTTTTTACAATAGCTGATCATGTTGCGTGGGTCTCATTTTCGTATCGGCGCTGTGCTCCCGTTGTTCAGAGGAGGCGCGCCCCACAGTGGGCCGCTGTTCTGGATTTCTCAGGTCTCGCAGGCACCACAAGTCCCACAGGACCCACAAATGTCGCAGATCGCCCTGCAATTCCCACTTGTCCCACCAGCCTGACAAGTTCCACAGTTTCCGTCAGTCCCACAAAAGTCGCAGGTCTCGCATGCCCCACAGGTCCTTCAGGTCCAACAAGTCCTGCCAGTCCCAGAAGTGCCGCAAGTCTCACAGGTCCCACAGAAGTCCCCCAAAGTCCACCAATTCCCGAAAGTCCCACCGGTGCCACGGGCCCTCGCAGGTCGCACAGGTCCCACATTTCCCACAGGTCCCACAAGTCCCACAGGTCCCGCAGGTCTGCCAGGCCCCACAGGTCCCCAGGTCGCACAGGTCCCACAAGTTTCCCTTTTCCGACTGCGCATAACGCGGTCGGGTCTTGTGGAGTTCCAAGTCATATACGCCACGCGTCCGCCAAAAGAGACCTTATCAGCGCAGTGGGAAGGGATGGGAAGGAGGAGTAGGATGTCAGATATGGGGCGAGCGCACCTAGCTTTGCATACACCTTCTCCATCCCCCATCTGTCTCCGCCTCCCCCTCCCCGTCCCGCGTCACGCCTCTGCCCCCCTCCCGGTGGACCTCCAACTCAGCCACTTCAAGCACCGGCTCCAGGCTTGTCTGTGGCAATCTTACTCTCGGATGGAGAAGGGGGCGCTGCGGGGCCCTCCTGCCTTATAATTTGCGAATCGGTATCATCATGATATATTTCGTTTGCTTATTCGTCATCATATCGTCAAACACATCTCCGTCATCATCGGTCTGCAGTGGTGGCACCTTGAGCCTAAGAGAGCTAGAGAGGTAATCAAAACATGAACACGGATAACAAGCACGTGCTCTCACACGGAAAAGTTTGAAGAAGCTACGATAATATATGGCTTCGAGAGTTTTGTGGTTAAGATGCCTCGATAGTCAGAGACTTCTGTAGCAGCATGTGCAAAATGATTATTTCGCGATCTGAAGAAAGGATGTTAAGAGTGGGGGATGTGCAGTGGCCCCCACACTTTTAATCTTTTTGTAGCAGCCTGGCCATCGGGATTCCCTGTGTAACGGCCTTACAAGAAGAGTTTCAAGTGTGGGGGCCTGCACTGGTGGCCCCTTGAGCCCAGGAGAGCGAGGGAGGAAAGCAAGTCAAAAGCAGTAACACACATGAAACAAAGATGCGTCTTCGTTCAAATATCAGAACAAGCTAGGAGCACCTGCTGCTGTCGTTTCTATGTGCAGATGCCCCACTAGTAGAACCCTTCTGTTGCAGCAGCCTTTACCGAAGGATCCCTCTTGTGGCGATCGTACACGAGGATTGTGATCTGCAATTGCCTCCACAATTCGAACCCTTCAGTAGCAGCTTGTACCCATGGATTCCCGTTGCGGCGATCTTGCAAAGAGGTTTCAAGTGTGGGGGATCTGCAACGGCGGCACCCTGAGCTTGGGAAGGGCGAGTGAGGAAAATAACACGGACACAAGTTTGAACTTCGTGCGCGTTCACATGGAACGATCGGAACAAGCTAGGACAGACTGTGGCTATCGCCATTTCTATCGTTCATATGCCCCACAGTTGCAACGCATCTGTCGCAGCATTTCCAGGCGGATGCCCTTTGTGGCGACATTACAACAAGATCTTGAATGTGCGGGGTCTGCGATGGCCTCCACACGTGAAATTCCTTGTGCGGCAGCCTGAACAAAATGACTCCTGACGTGGAGATCTCACGGAAAGATTCCAGAAGTGGGGGATCTGCAGTGGCCTCCACACTCAGAACCCTGGAGCAGAAGCCTTTTCCTACCCCAAACCCCAAACAACAATCCAGGCGACCTTCAACCACAAATGAATGTGGGGGGTCCAAGTCCGATCCTCCTATCACGTCGCCATGGCAACGCCTGTTACCTCCCGCGCCCTTCACTCCATGTTTTCATTGGCGAAGCACCAAAGCTTCGAGGCCGCTCATGTTTTTGTTGTCATTGCTGTGGTGCTGGGTCCTCGCTCCGCGCCTCCCTCCTCCCGTCCTTGCTTCTGCCCCCCGCGCCAGCCAGCCATGCCCGCACACCCCTCGCACGCTTCCTGGCGCGACACCGAGCTCCACCGCAGGCCCAAGCCGCTGCGTTCGCATGTGCCCGCCGCACTCATTTCCGGGCACAACGCTCACGCGCTTCGTGGCCCCATCGGGAGCCCCACCGATGTCTAGAGTGGCCGCGTCTGCACGCGCCCGCCGCACTCATGTCAGCAATCCCCTCACACGTTTCGTGGCCCCATACAGAGCTCCACCGCAGGCCCCAGTGGTAGCACTCGCATGCGCCCGCCGAACTCATTTTGGCAAACCCCTCACACGCTTCGGGCCCATTTCGGGCGTTGGCAGAACTCATGAGAGAGCGTGATCCACCGCCGCTTTACTGTGGAAAATCCCCCCCCCCTTCCTCCGGAACCCGGGGGTCACCCCCCCTCCGAAAATCCCCCCCCCTGCTGGACCCCCCCTTCTCCCCTCCCCCGGCACCCCCCCCCCCTCCCGTAACCCCTACCCCCATCCCCCCCTCCCCCTCGAAACCGGAGAGGGGGGTCACTACCGGTTCGACCCCCCCCCCTCAAAACCGGGGGGGGGGTCACTAACCGGTTCGAACCCATCGAACCCACCCCTCCACCCCTCACCGCCAGCAAACGACTCCCGGTCCCTACCACCGTCCGCACCACATCCCCCACTGTTGTTCCCAGCGCCACTGTCTTCACCACCACTGTCCCCATTGGTTCCACCACCGTCCCTACTGTCCCCACCAGTGCCCCCACCACTGTCGCACTGTCCCCACTGTCCCCACAACTGTTCCCACCACGGTTCCACTCTCCCCACTTTCTCCACGGCCCCAACCACTGCCCGACTATCCCCACTGTCCCCACTGTCCCACTGACTCCTCCGCTGTCCCATTGAGCTGTCCCACTGTTCCCACCACTGTCCCCACTGTCCCCACCACTGTCCCCACTGTACCTCTGCCCCATTGTCCCACCGCCGTCCTCGCCACCGCCTTCACCACTGTCCCCACCACCACTGTACCCTCCACTGTCCCACTGTTTCCACCACATTCCCACTGTCCCCACACCACTGTCCCCACCACCACTGTCCCCACAACTGTCCCACTGTCCCCACTATTCCCACCATTGTCCTCACCACTGTCCCCACCACTACCGTCCCCACCACTGTCTTATTGTCCCTACCACTGTCCCGCTGTCCCCTCACCACTGTCCCCACCACCGTCCCCACCACTGTCCGCACCCCCCCCCCCCGTTTTCGTGGGGGGGGTGGGGGGTTCGAACCGGTAATGACCCCCCCGGTTTTCGGGGGGGGGGGGTTCGAACCGGTAGTGACCCCCCCCTCTTTTCATGATGGACTGGGGGAGGGAAGGGGTTCGAACCGGTAGTGAACCCCCTCGGTTTTCCGCCAGCAGCGGTAGAACACGCTCTTTGGCAGAACTGCGTTTAGTGGAACCTGGTTTAGTGATGTGTACTGGGGGAGGCCACCCCAGCCCCGTTCCACTAAACGGAACTGCTGTCACCCGAAAAACACCAGTTACGGCAGACCAGGTTTGGTGATTCTGGCCAATTCAAAGGCCCCCGGGGCCCTACGACTAACCGGGTCCCCCTACCTGCGATCCTGGCTATACCCGACCATTGTGGGCCCCACCGAATGCCCCAGTGGCTACGCTTTTACGCGCCCACCGCACTCATTTGGGTACACTCCTCACACGCTTCGCAGCCCCATAGGGAGCTCCACCGAAGGCCCCAATGGTTGCACTCGCATGCGCCCGCCGCACCCATTTCGGCACACACCCCACACGCTTTGTGGCCCCGTAGTGGAGCTCCACCGGTGGCCTCAGTGGCTGCGTTCGCTTGCGCCCGCCGCACCGTATTTCTAGCACACCCCTCTCA